CAGTGTTACGACAGCGGAAGTCACGTGTTTTTAGTGTTGGAGTCTTCTGTCTCGAGATAAACATTAATCAGGAAGGAATAAAGACTGTTCCACCATTATGTTGGAGTATGCACACTAAACTTTATGTTATTGCTTGAATAAATATTTTGTTTATTTGACTGAACCTTCTAATCTATTTTCACACTAAAAATAGCACTCAATCGAAAATATCTCAGTCACAAGATCTCTCGTAAATTTCCTGGAACACGCTGCTATTACTGTAGATAATTCTATCTAATACTTGTCAGGAAATTGGTTTTAATTGGATATACCATAGAAACCATTTAATTAGCTTCGTTCTAGCTGCTTTGCTTCTTTGATGTTTTCTAGAGATAATACCTGTTTTATTCGTGGATGATTTTCCTGCAACGTTAGAAGTTGTACAAGAATCTAAACGACATCTGTATATTTCTTTGCTATAAAAGACGTCATCTACAGTTGGCGGCTTCCCTATGTTGAATAAGAATTACTATCAGATGGTTAGCGCTAGTCGCTATAGATAAATCCGACTTTTTCCATCATGTAAAAAATATTAAATTTAAGCAGTATCGGTTGATGGGAAAACATCTTAAGAGATGAAAATCAGTTAGTCATTTCACGAGTCCAGTAGACGACGACTATTCACTGTCCAGGAAGTAAGTAGTCACACTGTGTTTCTGTCTTTGATTTAAATAAATATCGTTTTCATTTTGTGTTTCACATGGTGTTCAGTCTGTTCATTTCATTGCTTAAACCTCGGTCAAGTTTAGAGCCAATTGATCGGTATTTTTTAAGCTAAGACTTTTGACACCTGGGTCGACTCGCGACCCTCAGAATACGAGTCAAACGCCCTAACCACCAGGCCAAGCCAGACCCAATTTTGTTAAATTCAGTGATACTTCATAATTTACTTTGCCGATTTTCCTGTTATAAAGTGGACCTGCCTAATACTCTTTATTGAAATCATCTTAATCTGACAATACAGCAATGCCACTAAACACTCTCTGCACCTTCAGATGTGGGCGCGTTATAAAAGTGAGAGTCAATTTTATTATTAGATTTAAAGAGCTAGACATAACTTTTATGGCTGCTAGCAGGCTATTCCTCTCTTTAGCCAGTAATGTAAAATAAGGGACGACTATATCTGAGGTCAAAAGGTTTCTGACTTGGCAATTTATTCAAAGTGCGCATAAGTTGCCTTTCAAGCTGGAAGTTCCGATTGCAAAATCTGATCAATTTATATAGAGCATCTACGAAATACAAAAAACATTAAAATTTTTGCACTAATAAATTCCATAAATTAATAACCTGTTCTACGTTTCATACCATAATGGGCGATCTGCTGTGTCTATCGTGGGGGAATAAAACCCAGATTTTAGCGTTGTAAGTCCATAAACTTACCGCAGACGCAGCGGGTGACTTGTAAAAAATATAAAGTAAAGAAATATAAAAAATCAAATTTTAAGATTTAAAGATGTAATGGATATTAATTGGAATAATTAATATAAACAGAAAATATCAACGGTTTTATCTAGTAATGCTTAAAAAACAACCATGAGAAGCATGCCGTCAATTGTAGGAAAATAAAGAAGTAAGAATTTAATATCTAGAACATTAAATTCAGATAAAGTAAAAAAAGAAAAGTTCCAAAGTTGACTATATGCTTCCACCGCAGGGATCTAATTCTGAATCCTTAAAAAAATAATGCGATAGGATATTTCATAATGTTAACTGAAATAATCAATTCAAATAAGATATTTAATTTTGTTTATTTATTGTTATGCGCAAAGCTACAAATTGGTTATGGATACTATGACAAGTACAGGGATCGATCCTTGAATTTTAGTGTTATAAGCTCCTAGAACTTACCACTGAGCCACGGAAGCAAAAACCTAACTAAAACCGATTAAAAGTTATAAAACAATCCGATTTTTGATATGATGCTGCAAATAAACAAACTGAAGAAGAGGAAAATATAATAATTTATCTCTATATTAAATTTATATTACCATTCGCCAGAGTGCGCAATGACACGTAAGGGGTGAAAATGTGGTAAAATGTATTTATAAGTATCGTGTGAATTATCTTTTTTTTCTAGTTTAATAATATACAAATGTGGTATTAAAATATATTAAAAATTAATTTAAAACTCGTATTATCAAACACAGCATTCTAATTTATAAAATTTTAAAGTACAGCACTGTTACCGAGTCGTTTAGTTAGTGACTGTTAATCTAATGTTAGTAATACTAATAGTTGTACTTTATTATAATTGTTGTTAGTGTTAGATAAATAGTTTAATAATAATTAAGCCCAACTTGTGTGTTCATTACTTGTACGATTTTCACCTAGGTTGTGACATCTATATCAATTAGAAGAAAATTCTGAAAACGGGAAAAGGAAAGATGTGGAAGCTATTTTAAAAAGAATCGGTTATTAAAGGTGTAAATGAGTACTTTGGTGTTTAAGATGGTTATACTAATATGAAGATTTGACTGTTTTGAATTTAAATATACTATAACACAAGTTTACTGAAACGCTCATGGCATTTCATTCCTCTAAGAAAGTGAAGTATTCAGTGTTAAATGAAGACCTCTCCAGCAGTCATGAAAACAACATTGATGATAATTTCAAATTTAACCCCATTTTGAGTAAATTAAGGCATGCAAAATACCTCAAAGGACATGCTAAGAGTAAAGATACTTCACATAGTGATAGTGAAGAGTATGATGGGCAGATTTTTGTTTTCGATACTGAATATGCTGGAGATAATGAAGAACTGTGTACTGATCTCTTGGATATGGCACATTTCCGCCAACGAGGGCAGAACAAAAACTCTGATAAGTCAAGTTTTCATCAGTCATCCCTTGAAAACTGGACAGAACCAGGTCAGACTAGCCTTCAGAACAAGTTTGACACACTTAGGGACTTCCTTGAGCATAAAGTCAAAAAAGAGGATACATTGCAGCGTTTGTCACTCTTGTATAGTTGCCCGGTAAGCTGATTTCAGTGGGTATCATTCATGAAATAAAGTAATTGTTTTTATGTAGCTGTTAAAATGAAGGACCAATCATCAAATTAAGAAATTAATCTTGTACTGTAGTTATACGTTCAAGAATATCAATGAATTTGTTAGATTAGTAATACTATGTAGAGCACCTGCATATATGTAGAATTTTGTTTTCTATATCAAATATTTAATGAGTTTAGCATAGTATTAGTTAAAATATTTTCAACAAGTTTTTATCACTGGAATTAGAAAATTTTTTTCCACAAATATAACTCGTGTTGCATGTGTAAATGACCATACCTACCAGAAAAGACAATGCGTAATTATGATTTCTTCTTAATAGATCAATTTCAGTTATATATATATAATTGTTATTGAGAAGTAATATTAGTACCTGATAGGTTTTGTGACAATTGGCCAAGCAGTTTGCTAGTTACAAGTGGACACACAAATACACATACTTTTGTCAAATAATGGTTTAAATTATATGTAACTGAAAATGTTACGCATTCATCCTTAAGGTTTTTCAAAGAACTGTCTGTGTGGTAAAAAATAGTTAACACTAAAAACAAATAATGAAGCAATTTCAATATAGTAAAATACAATTTTCTAAAAGTATTTTGTTGACACTGAAAACAGAGTACATGTAATTACATTTTCTTGTCAGACACACACACACACACACATATATATATGAGATTGCTGAGCATTTACATTTTCTCTTCAATTTTTCAAGAGAAGAAATTTTCAATATTCCTGTCCTTAAGCATTTTGTGGGAAATATTAGAATGGACCTGAATCATGAAAACTTTGATCAGTTGGTAACTTGAACAGTTATTTTGAAAGTGATTAATCATAGTTTGAGTTGTAATAATATATATCTGGGAGCCAACTCAATGGCATGACAGAAAAAAAAAATCTTGCATAGTGGTTGCTAACTCATTCAATCTATCAGAGCAGTCCTCTGTTATCAACAAGTAATAGTAAAGCTAATAGAGTTCTATTGAGTAATTGTCTCTATACAAATCTTTAGTTAGGCCTCACCTGGAATACTATGTACAGTTTTGTCCTCCTTAACAGAGAAAAGATAGACTTATTGGGAAAGGTTCAGAGGAAGACTACTAATATGATTCCAGGGATGGAAGGGTTATCTTACAGGGATAAGTTAATTTAACTTGTTTTCTCTCCAGAAAAATAGAGAGTAAAATATTATATTATTTAAGTTTACAAGATTACCTGGGAGATTGATAGTATATAAAGGTTTCTGATTCCTTTGTTCTATATCCTGAAGATAATAGGATGAGCGAACACAAGTTTAAAGTTTGGAGAATACAGGCTAGGCTACAGTTAAAACAGTTTTATTTTTCTAACAGGGTGGTTGAACTTATGTAATGAGTTACTTCTGTTGGCAGTAATGGAAGCTAGCATTTTACAGGAGTTTAAGAGAGTAAGTAATAATTGCTTGAAAAGATCTTTAAATACCAAATGGTCCCCTGTGCATGCAGATTATATTATATACAAGTGACTGTAGCTACAAGAAGTAATATATATATCCTTACAGGATTTTATTTCACTAGTGAATTTTCTTCAGTCAGAACATAAAATTCACACCAGTTGTGACCACTACACAGCTGAAAGTGCAGGTGTTTACTTTTGTGGAACAGTATGTTTATACAGATGTAGTGGTTGAACAATATAGAAGAAAAATATTTACCATTAAATATTCCACATTAGTTATTTATATGAAGAAAATCAGGAATAGAACTGGAAGATTAGGGAATTTGCTGGTTGAATAATTGTTGGGCTTATTAATCGATTATTCTCATATGAGCCCATTCTTAGCTTGTTTTGGAGTATTTTAAAGACATTTTCAAACTACACTTTATTAAATGTGATAGACATCTTCAGATACAACAATTTAGAATTTTATAAAATTTCATAGGAACAAAAAACTTTCCTATTTTTGTATGTAATGCTGAAGCTGTTAACTTCCACACTGTCTTAAGATGTAGCTTATATTTTTATATATTGTAAAATTAGCCAAATAAATGTTTTAGGCATGTGTGTGTGTTTTTTAAATGTATGTTGCTTATATCTTTATTAAAACAAATGTCTTTTAACAGGTTTCAGAAATTAAGAGAGCAAACAATCTACAAACTGACAAAGAATTGTTTGCAAGAAAATCTCTGATCATTCCCGTAAGGAAACACAGCATTTTAACAGAGATCCTTCCATATGCAAAAAGCTCTTCATATGAGGCAAGTTCGTTAAGAATTGTTGAAGACAACACTATACATAGTGACAATGAAAGAACAATATCTATTGGAATTGGCCGTGCACTTGCTGAAGAAAAACATAATGGGACTGTAGAATTCCTGAAAGCAATGGATAGAGACCTTGCTAAAATAAGAGATTCTACTCATACATATAAAAACTCGCTGGAGGATGTCAAGGCTACTTTAACATCTCCAAGGTTTGCTCCCATTATTTTTGAAAACCCAAAGAAAAAAAGCATTTTCAGTGGTGTTGACTGTGGTATTAGTTGGTGGAGTCTTTTAGTGGTAATTTTTGTCATTGGAATAGTGGCCCCACTTGTTTATATGCTGTATTATAAAATCTTTCAACCTGTTGGTAATAATGCAACTACATATTTTGATAGATAATGTTTTACATATCTTAGCTGATGCAGAAAGTTTTAATTAATGTTGAAGATACAAACTATAGATATGTATATTCATTATATATCTATTATGTAAGATAGTTTAATAATTAATGTTATGTGTGTAAGATAGTGAAAATATGATCTATATAAATCTGGCTTTAGTTTTAAATTGTGTATAGGAACATTTCTGTTCTAGCAGCATTGCAAGGTAATTATGAAGACAAACAGTAAACTGTTGTCACCAAAGAAAATATTTGAACTTGCAAAGAAGAATTCAGACTTTGTTCAACATAAAATATTTAAAAAATATGAAATCTAAAGGATTTGTTTCATTCCTTTGAGAACTGCACTTATTCAAGGTGAATATCAGCCATTTAATATACATATTGTATAATGTAAGTGCCATTTAGTTTAAAAAAGCTTGTAACAGGCAGAACTGTCTTTCATTTGTTTTGTAACTTTAAAACATTTCCAAAGGATTGATTTTGCTACTATGTGAGCAATTATAGTAAAGTTTTGTCAAGAATAGCTTACATGTATTACACAAGGACCAAATTCGTAAAATCTCTCAATTTAGAACTGTGGTTTTTCAGGAAAAAAAAATTGATATTTTGAATAAAAAGCATTTAAATAACTATAAACTTTTGTGTGTGTGTGTGTATATATAATATATTGAACATGTGTTTTAACTTTATATTGAAAGTTGCTGACTTGTCAACATCTGAAGTTTGAAGGTGGAATGGAAGTTTGTAAATGGTTATAGTACATTTCTTGTGATCTTTTTATGCTTTGAATGAAGGGCTTGGTATTCATAATTGATAAAAAAAAATGACATAAAACTTACTTATACCATATAAAGATTTATAGTGTAGTTATAGAAGGTAGTGTTTCACTTACATAAAGTTACTTTTGTCGATATATTTCACTGATATTTAACAAACTAAATCAGTGAAATATAAAAAAAATGTTCCTTCAGGAAATATGTTTTTCATTTTATTTTAACTGTTCAGTTGTTAAGCTTTTCATACTTTCAAAGTTAGTTATCAAGATTAAAGTATTTTTACGTTTCTTCACAACATCTAACTTGAATTTATATGTACACTGTTCTAAAGGTTAGTACTCTATAGATTAAAACAATTCATAGAGCAGCCTGTAATATACTGATGCACATCAGTACAGGGCGACATTTCGTGCATAATCAGACTCTGACTTTCTAGACTTAGTAAACTTAAGTCTACGTTATTGTTACCAAATTTATAATTTTTGACTTAGTTTGTTTCTTGTTGCTTGGTAAATAGTTTCTGCCATCCAAATAGCTAGTATGCCTATCAAAAGGCTTCTTAAGTTTAATAAAAGTGTGTTTGTTGTTATTTCATATAAAATGAGTATTAAGTTGCTTTGGGTGATGGAATTGCATTAATTATATGTAATATTCTATTAAATATATAATTGTTTTAGGCTGTTTTTTTCTTTAGGCAAGGGTTGTATAATCAATGCAAATGTTTTATCTTTTTATGCATAGTCTGCATGATCAGCAATTTTATTGTGCATAATTTCAGATTTTTGGCCACATAGAAATTGGGGTCCTGCTAATAAAACAATTAAAATGATAACATTCATACGAGATATTTGTGTGAAAATGACCATTTTTATCATTGAACCTGCACAATTTTTTTATCATCCATCTTAAATTTGAAGAAGTCGGATTACATTTCTTTAATTCTGCCTTTTTTTATTATTTGGTTTCGTACACAAAAACCACTACATTACTAAAATATTGATGAAACTGTGTGTTTCACTTTGTGTGCTAATACTTGAAAATGAAGCTTTGACATTACAGATTCAAATAGAACTACATCTGTTTTCAAAAATGAAAAATTTAATTTTCCAAAGAACATTACATATTTTCTGGTAAAATATGATTATAATTTATTACTTATAAAAATGTTGACAGGTGTTAAACAAGAAACTGGATCTTTCAAATTTTGTATTCTTTTTATTAAGGCACTGTATAAAATTAATGAAATGGAAGAATATTTTTAGTGACAATAGCATTAGCTTCAAAGTAAAAATAAAAACAAGCCATTAGAATTACAATAATACTTAATGAAAAAATAACTTAAAAACTTGTGTCAGTTAGATAGCTCTAGATTAGTGTTCTTTAATCTGGGGGGTTCCACATCCCATCTCTTTCCTTGGGTTTAGAGCAAATAGGAGGAGGGGGTCTGCAACGCATCTTTAGAACTTTTGTATTTTCAAATGCTATAGGACAAAGTGTTAATTAGTATATTTCAATTTAACATTAAAATGGGTAATTTCAAAAACCCAAAATTTGAATTATTAATATTAGTAAATTTTTTATTTCAACTTTGTTAAATTTTGTCTTTGTCTCAATGTGTTATTTTTATTATGTACATGAAGGGAAATAACCCCATATACCTGTATTACTTCAGAAAGTTTAAACAAAATGGATATTTTTTGTTTAGTGTGTGCAAATGGGGAACCTGTACTGAACAGGTATGGAAACACTGATCAAGCTTGTGATGTTATATTACATTTTACATGTGTTTTAAAATTTTCTATAAATATGAAAGATTATCTAAGAACCTTACCTATCATAATTGCAGCTTTTCTTAATGTGGGTGATAAAAAAATATCAGTCAAGAATTACCATGTATAAAAAAAATTAATGATGTATTCATTATAAACAAAGGTACATTTTGTGAACAGTTTGACATAAATATTTTGAAACACTGAAATTCTGCAAGAAGAAATGTTATATCTAAAAAAGGAGTGTATAAAGACTTATAAAGAAAAGTATAACATATTGATATTTTTCACATGTTAATCAAATGTAGCTATGGACCTTATTATTAAACATCGACTCAGTCATGTGGCAATGGAAAACAATGGCGTATGGTATTATGGCAAGGTGTACAGTAGCAGGTGTACTTTCATAAAAAAATCAAGAAATTGAAATTCAGTTTCAACAAAATTAAATAAAAACAGTTAGCCTTAGTATCTTGAAAGCTTATTGAAAGTGCTGAATATAAATACTACATGAAAAATGGATATTTATAACAGGTAAATCTGAAATCTGACTTGTTTTTTACACAGTTTATTGAACTCTGGCTTTGGAAATTTGGTTATCAAACATTTGAGTTTAATCTTTGGCTTTAAATAATCAAAAGTATAATTTCAATAGCATTACAAAAATATATGTATAACTAACTGTTAATGTGGATTCAGTTTATGATATATATTATAAAAAGCATTTCTCTATAGTTTAGGCATTTGGAAGTATTTAAGTTTCAAAAACTTAAGTCATTGTTAAGAAATAATAAAGAAACATAGAATTTCATTTGAGGTTATATAGAATGACCATAAGCCGGTATTCTAAAACTCATCAAACATATATCAACTTGCTTAAACTATGGGAAATAACAGTTATTTCAGAGAAAACTTCTTAAAAATTTTAGTATTTTTAGGTCACTATAATGAACTGTATTTTTAATTTTGGTCTTTTATAAATGCTATGCCACAATGAGAAAAAGACCCACCTGAAAGTGGTAATTACATTGTTATTCCCATTAAAGCGAAAAAAAACGTATTTTCTTGCATTTAAAATGCTTCCTTGCTATTGGATAACTTTAACCATACAAATATTTTGGACAATTTCACATTTTGAAAGATGTCATCTGGTATTTCCGTTAATTATAAAGGAGTGTCTTACTAAATCATATAACTTTTATTTGGATAAACATATACACAATATCTGCCATGCATAAAAAAAATAACTTTATGTTTATTTCTGCCATGCACCGAGCATGGATGAAAAAAAGGAGTTTCTTATTTCGCAAATTTTGTGGTTAACTCAAAGAGTAAACCTTTGTTTGAGGAATATACATGTCCTGCTGTATAGTGATTTGTTTCCTGTAAGCATATTGGTGCTTTGTGTAATACCATTAAATATATCCGATTTGAAATTTAAGACAAAATTCCCAGAAAAGAAAAAACAAATCCTGCACATGGAATGCATCTAAAAAATATCTAGTTCAGTCTCCAAAAGCAAGTTATCCTTCTTGTGATCATTACGTAAAAAATGTTTCACTCATTTGCTTTATGTTTGAGAGCATAAATTGCCACAAACACAAGTACCTTATGTGAGACATGGTATTCAGTGTTAAAAAGCAACATATGCGTACTAAAGATCAAACATAAGTACCTTATGTGAGACGTGGTATTCAGTGTTAAAAAGCAACATGTGTACTAAAGATCAAACGAGTACCTTATGTGAGACAAGATATTCAGTGTTAAAAAGCAACATGTGTACTAAAGATCAAACATAAGTACCTTATGTGAGACGTGGTGGTAAAAAGCAACATGTGTACTAAAGATCAAACACGAGTACCTTATGTGAGACAAGATATTCAGTGTTAAAAAGCAACATGTGTACTAAAGATCAAACACAAGTACCTTATGTGAGACATGGTATTCAGTGTTTAAAAGCAACATGTGTACTAAAGATCAAACACAAGTACCTTATGTGATACATGGTATTCAGTGTTAAAAAGCAACGTGTGCTAAAGATCTAACATGAGTACCTTATGTGAGACATGGTATTCAGTGTTAAAAAGTAACATGTGTACTAAAGATCTAACACAAGTACCTTATGTGAGACATGGTATTCAGTGTTAAAAAGTAACATATATATACTAAAGATCAAACACAAGTACCTTATGTGAGACATGGTATTCAGTGTTAAAAATTTGAAAAGTTAATATTAACTGAGCAGCTTGAAGTACCTTATGTGAGACATGGTATTCAGTGTTAAAAATATGAAAAGTTAAAATTAACTGAGCAGCTTGGCAATCTTGTTGTATATGTTATAAATCCAAATACTTCCTACTTAGGTTACTTAACTGATGGACTACTTATAAATAATGAGTAAATCTTAGAGAAGTGCAATGTGTTATTCAGAGCTACTGCTCTCAATGCAGAAGAAATGATGAGCAATGAGAGTTACCAAAGGAGATCCCATATTACAAAGTAGTGAAACATAAAATATCTGGAGAACTTTTACCAGATGTTATTGAAATATTGGATAATTTTTATTTTTCCATTTGTTCTTGCAACATGATTCTGTGATTAGCTATTTTTCTAGTTGCTTAAATTTTACATGGCATTAATTGAGAAGTTCCAGTTAGGAACAGCAGGGTAATAACTTCTAGACAGTTCATCATCATTGGAAGATCCTCTGTCTGCAAGGATTACATTCCTTCAGTGAGGATATGTAAAATATGGTTTCTTCATCCACACAAACCAGAAAACTAACAGCTCCAGTTAAAATTATTTCTGCTGGAGGTTTTGATGTATTTGTATTTTTTGTAACTTGACCATGTTTGTTGCTGAGCAGTGGAAACATTGGGTTGGCCAGTAGGAAGTTCAGTACAGTCTATGATAATCCTGTTGTTCAAAATGTTCTTGATATGTTTATATCCACTATTCTTTGGCTCAGCCATACATCTATTCACTTTAGTTATGTGTAATATATATCAATAAATTATCAGTCCAAATTGTAAAGACCTTTGATAAAGATAACTAACCAATTTGAAATATTTTGAAGAGATTATATTCACATAATACAAATTGAAACCTCACAAACAAACCAAAAACTGTCTTTCACAGACACCTTTAACCATTCAGGTTTATTTTATGGTATATCCATTATTTTTATAAACTCAAGAAATGCTTTGTAAGAAGGAAATGACATATAATACCTGACATTATTATCAATGTTTCTAACAATATGGATAGAAAATTTCAACACTAATAATTCCTTCTTCAGTGAGGAGATACTAGGTTTTTGCTAATTTACCTTTTTTGGAATATTGTACCAAAAGTAGGTTCTTCTGTTTGTGTTGGCCCGGCATGGTCAGGTGGTTAGGGCGCTCTACTTGCAATCTGAGGGTCGCAGGTTCGAATCCCCGTCCCACCAAACATGCTCGCCCTTTCAGCCGTGGGGGCATTATAATGTGATGGTTAATCCCACTATTCGTTGGTAAAAAAGTAGCCCAAGAGGTGGTGGTGGTTAGTGATGACTAGTTGCCTTCCCTCTAGTCTTACACTGCTAAATTAGGGATGGCTAGTGCAGATAGCCCTCGTGTAGCTTTGCGTGAAATCCAAAACAAACAAACTGTTTTTATTACACAGTAGCTATAATTTGAATTTGTTTCTTGACAAATTCATTACTAGAAACCACCTGCATGATATCTTTGTCACTAATTTAAATACAATAGGACCTGCATCTAAATTAAGTGCCTTTCTACCAAAATAGATATTAAAATTTGATTCCTTAAAATGTTCCAAACATAACCTGTGATGATCCTTTGGAAAAAAAAGTCTATTCTTAAATTTTCCAAATATATCTTCAATAATGGCCAATTTCTATAAAGAAAATTTATGGAAGGAAATTGAAGGTTCTTTCTGAATGTAAGCAAAACTGCTGTTGTTTTTTTTTCTTCTGTTCCAGTCACTGATGGAGTCTACATTTTATTAATATATACAGCTAATGAAGAAAATGAATAAACATTGTTTTAACTTCTGATGCTTTAAATCGTAGAATAACACAATCAAATAAACTAGATTTTTCTGAAGAGACAGTGACACCAAAATAAAGAATTTTATAAACTGCACACACACACTTAAATTATATATTAGTAATTGACCAGGCTTTTATAATAATATTTGTTTATTAACTAAAGAAAAGCTACCATTAATTTATTAGCGGTCAAAAGTATATGCTTCAACAGTGGTTTTATGTTTGCTTTATTTTTACTTTGTAAATGTGACAGAGCCCTCAACCTTTACAAAAGGACAGTCATAACTTATTTTTCTCCTTGAACACTTACTTGCATAAAGATTAAAATAAGTAACACATGCCCAGCCCATCAGTGTTGTCCAAACTTACTAAGGACTTAAAGAACGAGTACTTATTTTAGCTAAAGGGTTGTTACATTTAAAAGCTGCACAATAATCTGGCATTTTTCTCTTTGGTTAAGGTTTAAATGATAATATAATCATTAAGTAAAATAAAGAATGTTAAATCTTTACTGTATTAATCACAGGTAAGCAAATTGCACTATTATAGTACAAAAATTCTCCATTTTTAAAGTTTTTGCCAATACTGAACAGCCACAGAAACCAGTTCATTTTCTACTGTCACATGAATAAGGTCCATGGATGCCAAAAATAGTCATCAGTTACATTTTCTGTTTCCTGTTATAAGAGAGTTAGCTAATTTGAATAATTTTGTGCATGAAAATTATGTTCATTGTAATGGTTATAGCTAACAGAACTTATTTCTCTAGTTCATATAAAATATTTAAATAACTGTATTAAAAGTACTATCCATATATGAACAAATAACTTGCTTGAAACTAAAGATTTCCTAAAGAACACAATGTATACAGTAAAGAAATGACCAGAATTGTGCAAGAAATGTGTAATATCTTATACCAATTAAAAAAAAAGTATTGGTTTAAGGATTTAGTCAAAGTTTTCTCTATATAAATTAAAGTGATCAGTTCCTACAGCATTTGTTACAAAGAATGATATATACAAGAATGTGCATTTCCTTGTATACTGTTAAACACTGATGTATAATAGAATATATATACAAATTGATTACATTTTTATGGCAAAATAAACAGGATGAAAAAAAAAAGAATATAACTAATAGTCTTGGGTCTTTTAAATTTACAAGGTCACATTTAAACATCCAGATAAATGTAACAAGTATTAGAAATACATACAATTTTTCTTTAAGGGCAAGGCATGGCCTGGTGATTAGTGTGTCAAGCTGCAGCTTAAAAGGTTCAACCCACGATATGCTGTTGAACATTTCTTCATACTATTAACTAAAGGGCAGTTATAACTTTGACATTAATTCACACTGTTTGGTTATAGTAACGCATGGATATAAGGTGCTGCTGACAATTTGCCCTCCCATGGTTAGCAGTTCAAAATTAGGAGTAGCTATGCTGAACCTTGAGAGTCACTGACCTGTCTGCTTAACCCATATGTTACACAAGACACAATACATTCAGGTTGAAAAATACCTGAACCAATCTTTCTCTGGGGTTAAAATAATGAATCAAATTTAATGAAACATTTTCCCCAATGAAATAATTTTAAGTTTAAATGGACAAGAAAACTCAAAACATTATTTATAACTAGAGATATCCATTTAGTATTATTTTTGAGCTACCCTTATATATGAGTATGTACACACTTTTTATTAAAATCAACAGATTACATGTATGCTATGGTTATAACATAAATTATTGTGGTAAATCCAATGCTTCCATTTCTAACTAGGTTTAGAACAAGTCTATCTGTGCTCTATATCTGTCAATATATTTTCATGTTAGCTCAATTTCCCTTTAGTAAAGTTGAAAACTGAATGTACATTTATTAGTTGTATTTTGAAAAAGACAACTTTACTACAACTGGAAGCTAATCCATCTTCCATTTTCAATCTTTTTGTATGGCTAAAGTGCTAACACAAAATGAGCAAGAGCAAATAGGCTAAAGTTCTGATAATTCCTTTGATATTTCACATGAATATTCTTTGCCAGAATAATAATTTCATTAATCATATAAATTCACTGTGCAAAATGTATACTTCCATCTTAACAAGTTACAAGAAGAAAGTTAGCAGTACTACATCTCACCATAATGAACTAAAAACAAATATATATATATATGTATGCTTTCAAAATATACAAATACCTAACAAATGAATGGCTAGGAGTCTATAAACTTATACCCAAGATTATTATATACTCAGAAATGATTGAAAGACAATTTATGTCTTAATAAGTGTCCCTACTAGTTATTTTAATGGTCAGATCTCTTCTAATTTTATATATCATTGAGATTGGAATAGAAAGTTATACATCCTACTTCTTTTTCCTGCATTTCTAGCTCGACACATGCTTCTGTAGATCAGTTTAAATATGAAGACATTGGTATGCTTACATTTTTTTAAATTTTACTACAGCACTTTTGATTCATTTATTTATCTTATCTCTTAATAGATTTATAAAACTACATCAGGTATAATTTAATGCATAAAAATATCCATTCTTGACCAATAATAAGTATATAAATTATGAAAGATTAACCTTATAGTCAAGTTACACTCATTATCTCTATAAAGTTTACTTGGCTAATACATAATATATACATGTATGTGTACAAGAGTTGAGTAACTCAGCAACAAGTATTTTCAGTTTTTATAATTTAATCATAAATCCAGTCCAAATGACTAGCACATGATTTACTGTACAAACAAAAACTTTTATTTGGAATATTTCTTCAGTATGTTGGGCCATCATCAAGGTTGTCATCATCTTCATCTAGGTAATTATCACCATTATCAAAGTAACTCATGGCATAATCAGTTCCCTAAAATAAAATAATCGTAATATAATAATCTGAAACAACAATGTTTCTTATCATTGTGAAAACCTTTTCATATCACCCCATGAAATGTAAAGTATTAAGTTTAACATTTTCCTACACTGAAAATGTATTTCCAAAAGGTACTTACCTCTTCTAACCTAAAGCTATCTTGACCTTGATTTAACCTCTAAGCATTGCTAAAACATATTTCAATGAGAGTACACCAGTCTTTTATACCCCTTTAGATGACAAATCACAGTCAAGATAGCTTTGGGTGAAAGAAGTTGGTACCATTTCAGAATGTTTTTTAATTTCTTTCCAACATGTTAAGCATGATTTTTATAACAAAAAGTATTTCCACTTTTATATTTCAATGTTTAAAGGAAAGTGTTTTAATTAACACTAAATGCTCTTTTCTTCATTAAAATATTAGACAGTGATTTAAAAAAATAAAATTCTAATGACTTACACTGGAGACACCAAGTTTCAAGTTTACAAAAGTGTCTCAAACATTAAGAAAATTTGTTGAAGCAAATTAAATTCCTGGCCAAAAAATAAAAATGTTGTTATATTAACATGAAAAACACCAAAATAATATTTTTTGTTGTCATTTTTCAAAGTATTTACTTTTTGAAAATTGGGCAGAGATTTTATGATTTTTTTGAATCAGAAATTAAAGTTTTTCTATGTAATTCAGAATCTATATACTCATAAGAATATGAAACTCACAAGGAGATTGCCTGAAAATAAAAAGTTAAAGCCTGTTTTTACAGGTGTCATCAGATTAGACATCTCATCTTTCCCTGGCTGCCCATCTATGTTGTCATTTGGAAAAATCATCCTGTTTGGCGGGTGGACCACATCCAACACATTCATCTCCCATTAGCCCCATCAGGTGGCTGTTTCATCCTCATCCAGATACCGCATTGCACCTGTAGCCATACTACACATATCTGTTCAACTGTGAGTTAGTACATTTATTATTTTTTCTTTTTTCTTACAGGTTCACACTCCTCTTCTATATTGGATCCCACTCTGTAGCAAGTGATGCTTGTCCAAGTGTACTTATTCTTAAATCCACACTGTATGGTCAATAATGCCCACTGTTAAGTTGGGGTGTTTCACAAGACCGCTAGTAGGTTCTTCCTTGCGGTGTTTTGTGTCATAAATATGTTTATCCCAGCCCATACACTCATGGACTAGCATGAATAAAGCAAAAGAGGATTGCTCCTCGTTCCTGCTCCTTCGACTGCATAAATCAGGGACATTCTGCTTTCAAAAATAGGGTTTTGCTGTCACCCATTGCACCTTCTCCAGTGCTGTGTTCCTCCAGAGTCTCCAATGCAATACCCCCCCCCCCTTCTTCCAGTGGAGTCGGAGTCCTTACCACTTACCAGTTCTTAGCTGCTCAAACCCACTCACTTAAGAGTAGGGTGGTGGTGTTCTGTCAGTGTAGATGGTGTGGCTATCCTCCTATTGCAGACTTGATGTATTAATCGAGATGCTGTATGGTTTTGGACTGGATTTTTCCATCAAATGCAGTTCACTCTTCTGACTGGGAACTCTCCTTCCTGGATGTCAGTTCCCAGAAGACTGGTATTGGTTGGAGCTGACCAGCCAACATAGGTCCTCACATGTGAGTAGGCTAGGACAATCCTCTTACTCTGAACTGGATGATACATTCCCAATGCTGCATAATTTTTGACTGGAGTTGTTCCTCCACCTTCCTACCATTGTCCAGATATCATTTCCCGGGGGCAAAGTTCTTGGTTATGTTGGGTATTCAGACATGACAGCTTGGGTTCTTGAAACGGAAGTGATCCTTCCCTTCCAGTTCCTGAGTTGGAGGTGAAGATTGTAGAGGACCCTCTTCCTACTGTAATCAAAATGATCCATTCCTGGTACTGCTGACTTTGGACTGGAGTGACCTCTTGATTATGATCAGACACATCCTAGCTATTCTACACCAAAGACATCTCCAGCTACTATTGGTCAAGGACCCTCCTCCTACTGTGGATCATGTGAGTAATTCCTGGTTACACTGGGTTTGAACTGGAGTGACCTCCTGATTATGATCAGATGCACCCTAGCTATTCTACACCATGGGCATCTCCAGCTACTATTGGTCAAGGACCCTCCTCCTACTGTGGATCATGTGAGTAATTCCTGGTTACACTGGGTTTGAACTGGAGTTGACCTCCCTTTCACAGTCCTCCTACCATGGATGGGATGATCCATTCCCAGTTCCAGTGGATTTGTACTAGAGTTGACATCCTGACGACAACCTAACGTGCCCTATCCACTCTATACCCTTGGTATGTATGGCTAATTTTCATATGTGCCTCTTTCCTGCCCATTTAACAACTCATTCATTCATCAAGGGTGAAGAGTATACCTGGTTCGATATGGTGCAGTCTCCCATGAGTATGTTTCTCTAACAAGAGAAGTCACACTCAATGGGCATTCTTTGGATGCTTTCCAAAGGCTATTCACCTAGGTAAATTTTACATCAATTCTTCCAATATATCAATGTGGGATTCTAGCTATTATTCTAACAACAATAAAAAGATTGGCAATGGGTGCTGCCAGCCATTTGCCATCCCTCTAGTCAGAGTTACAAATTAGTGACAGTGGCAGATAGTCTTAGTATCTGTGCCATAATAAACACAAGATAATTAAGTTTGGTGATGATATTTCGATTACTTGGATAATTGAAATAATTAAAAATAGTAATCATCGGAAACCATAATTTTGATTAGTTGAATATTTTCATGACAGTCAATTTAATTGTAATATTGATTAACCAATTTTTGGAATAATTGGAAAACTAACTTTGATTAGTTGATTATTTTTATAACTATTAATATAATAATAATTTTGATTAATTGATTATTGGAATGATGAAAAAGAGTAATAATCAGAAATACTAATTTTGGTTAATCAATTAATTTGCATGAAAATAAATTATGTAATTGTTGTTCATGGATTTTCAAGAATTGGAAGAGTATATCATAATAATAGTATTCAAACCACACTTACCATCATTAGCAATGGATGTGGCAAACATAGTGTGGTTGGAGTGCTTTTATTACACTGTCTTCTAACTCTTAAAAAATCCTTAAATGACTAGATAAAGAATGCAGTGTTAAAAATATAATAGACCTATTACTAATGTCTTATGACAGGTATAATTAATTAAAACTTAACTTTAAATAAGCCTTTCAATGACTTGGAATGCAAAAATAATTTGATTATCACTAGTTAAGGTTTAAAACCCAATTACCTATTACCTAATTTTTAACC